TCAGCTATTATAACGAGCTAAAGCTAGGCTTATATGCTCTGTGGATCAGACACAGAAGGGAGCCTGTAACACATGATCACCACTGGGTTACCACAGCCCTCTGTTCTCAGGTAATGCCCCAGACAGCACAATTCCAGTTCAACTCCTGCTTACCTTATAATATGGAGATATACCTATCTCATAAAGCTGGAAGGGACATCAAGTCCAGTCCCCTGCCTTCACTAGCAGCAGGGCTGGCTCCAGGGTTTTTGCTGCCCCAAGTATTTGGGGGGGGAGGGGAAGCCATGATTGGTGGCAGCTCTACTGTGCTGCTTCCTTCTTTGGTGGCAGGTCCTTCCCTCTGAGAGGGACTGAGGGACCTGCTGCCAAAGAGCTGCCCCTTCCCCTTGGCCACCCCAAGCAACTGCTTGCTGGGCTGGTGCTGGCCCTGACTAGCAGGACCAAGTACTGATTTTGCCCCAGATCCCTAAATGACCCCCCTCAAGGATTGAACTCACAACCCTGGGTTTAGCAGGCCACTGCTCAAACCACTGAGCTATCCCTCCCCCCTACTGCACCACTTCTGTTCAGCTGTTTGCTTTTGGATCCCTCAAGCCTCCGCTATTCTCCTTCTTGTTAATACGGTTGCATCCAGAGACCCTAACCAAGATCTAGGCCCCATTGTGCTAGTCCAGTAAGAGACCAGCCCTGCCCCAAAGAGCTTGTGGTCTAAGGAACTGGAACAAGCTCATGGTGAGGATTTTTATTTTTAAAAGTTGACTTGTTCCAGCTGCCTGTCCCCTATTAGATGTTGCAAATCTGTTTGGGGCACCCCTCACAAGTTGCAGAAGTCTCTAAACTTTGTTCTTTCCAAGGGTCCCAATTATAGAGTGTATTTTGTAACAAAATCCATGGATGTCCAGTGCACTGCACCTGCATGTCTAGACTGGACTGGGAGGATGTGCTACCCTATCCTCTAATAGAGAATGAGATGCAGCAAACATCAGCCAGAATGGCTGGTTCAGAGCTGAGTGATTTGTTTGCTGCTACCAGATTTAAAGGGCTAGCCACCCAGAAAAGCATGCAGGAAAAAAATTCCAATTCAGGGATGAAAGGGTGGAGGAGTGTGGTGGGAGTGGGTGAAAAAGAAAGGAGCTGCTTCTGTGTATCCCTTCTGAAGCAGATGGAGGTGTTAATTACTTCTCCATTGACAAGGCAGTGCACTATGGATGTTGACATAACATATGCTTTTAAATCAAGCTCAGTGTTCTTGTTTGATTCGAGCCAATTAATATGTATAAGCAACGTTCATGGTAGTTTTCCTGCTTCCATAAAGCAGCATTGCCAACTCTTGCAATTGTATTGATTTTCAATGTTTTTTTCTTAAAGCTTCAGCTCCTGGAGCCACGTGATTATATGAAAATCTCAGCTCTTTTTTAAAAAAATCAACATAAGAACATAAGAAAGGCCGTACCGGGTCAGACTAAAGGTCCATCTAGCCCAGTATCCTGTCTACTGACAGTGACCAATACCAGGTGCCCCAGAGGGAGTGAACCTAACAGGCAATGATCAAGTGATCTCTCTCCTGCCATCCATCTCCACCCTCTGACAGACAGAGGCTAGGGACACCATTCCTTACCCATCCTGGCTAATAGCCATTAATGGACTTAACCACCATGAATTTATCCAGTTCTCTTTTAAACTCTGTTATAGTCCTAGCCTTCACAACCTCCTCAGGTACTGAGTTCCACAAGTTGACTGTGCGCTGCGTGAAGAAGAACTTCCTTTTATTTGTTTTAAACCTGCTGCCTATTAATTTCATTTGGTGACCCCTAGTTCTTGTATTATGGGAATAAGTAAATAACTTTTCCTTATCCACTTTCTCCACATCACTCATGATTTTATATACCTCTATCATATCCCCCCGTAGTCTCCTCTTTTCCAAGCTGAAGAGTCCTAGCCTCTTTAATCTCTCCTCATATGGGACCCGTTCCAAACCCTTAATCATTTTATTTGCCCTTTTCTGAACCTTTTCTAGTGCCAGTATAAGTTTCTAGTCATTGTGATTAAAGCGAAGAACTTGCAAACATAACCCTAAAAACTCAAGAACACCAGAAGGCAAATATAAAAGATCCCCAATGTCTTACTTGAGCTAACGGAATAAGATAAATTCTGAAACAAATGCAAAATAAAGAGTGATCACTATTGCATCACAGAGTCCTTCTTTGCTCTTTACAGGTGAAAAGGTTTTGCTTTTCTTCTGGGAAATTCTGTTTACAGCGGATTTTTACTCCATTCGTTTGCACAACTGACCTTCCTAGAGAGAAAAAATAAGGATACTGTAGTGTATTTTTCCCCTGTTGAAAGAGTCTTAATAATTAATAGCAGAAATGTAACATGAAGAGAGGGACAAAATATTATCAAGTTTTTCCAGAAGGCGCTGGTATTAAGCCACATCTGCAGCAAAGGTCTGAAATGCAGGCAGTCTTTGCTCCTTTGGTCAGAAGGGGGTAACCCCTTTTCCACAACACTGATGACAGGGAGAAGCAAGAAGGACTCTTGTGTGTACTCATTGGTTGCTACTAAGTTTCAGTTCTGTAGCTTGTCTCCTGTGATTTTGAGATACGAACATTTTCTCTGGCCTGAATCATTTTGGGAATTGCTGCATGTGTAACCCGCTGGTCAGTGTGTGTTGTGTCCCCTTCTATGTGTGTGTGTGTGTGTGTGTGTGTGTGATTTTTTTTTTTTTACCAATATAGTCCTGGTGTGGACA